AGGAATTCTTCGAGAAATATCTGACCCAATTAGGAAGAGCAACATAAGAATTACAGACATTCCAGAGTGAGAAGAGATGGAGAAAGGAACAGAGAGCTTGTTAAAGAAAGAATAGTTGAGAACTTCCCATACCTGGGGGAGGAACCGGACTTACAAATACATGAAGCCAATAGAACTCATAATTACATCGGTGCTAAAAGACCTTCTTCAAGGCATATGACTGGCAAAAGTCAGCAACAGAGAAAAATAGCAAAGGCAGCAAGGCAGAAGGAAAAAAAACATACAAAGGAACCCCTATCAGGCTTTTAGTGAATTTCTCAGCAGAATCCTTGTAGGCTGGGAGAGCAGAATGTTATATTTAGAATACTGAAAGACAGAAACTTTCAGCCAAGAATACTCTATCTAGCGAAACTATCCTTCACATACGATGGAGAAATAAAAGCTTTCCCAGATAAACAAAAGCTGAGGGAGTTCATCACCATTAGACCTCTCCTACAAGAAATGATGAAGGATGCTCTCTTACCTGAAACAAAAAGGCAAAAGTCTACAAAGCTTTTAGCAAGGAAATAAATAGACAAGATCAGAAAACTGCAGTTCTATTTCAGAACAGGGTAGCAAATAATTATAACTTAAAATATAAAGGGAAGGAAACCATCAAAAATAACTATAAACACTTCAACTTAGTCACATACTTGCAACACAAAACATAATTTTTGACAACAGCAACTCAGAAGGGCAAGTGGGAAGGGATGGAACCTGCTTAGGCTAATGGAGATAAGAGGCTAACAGAAAACATAATATCTCATTTACGAGATCTTTTATACAAAACTCACAGTAACCACTAAATGAAAAACCAAAGCAGAACCATAATTCGTGAATAAAGAGAAAACTGAGAAAACAACCACAGAAAATGACCTAACTGAAATGGCAGTCAGAAAAAACAAAGGAAGAGAAACAGTGGAAATGTAGAACAACTGGAAAACAAGAAATAAAATGGCAGTATTAAGTCCTCATATGTCAATAATCACTCTAAATGTATAATTTTTCAATTTTCCAATCAAATGACACAGAGTAGCTGGATGGATTAAAAAACACAACCCAACAATATATTGCCTACAGGAAACACATCTCAGCTGTAAAGACAAACATAGGCTCAGAGTGAAACGATGGAAGATGATACTCCAAATTAATGGCAAACAAAAGAAAGCAGATGTTGCCATACTTATATCAAACAAAGCAGACTTCAAGATAAAAAAGGCAATGAGAGACAAAGAGGGTCAGTATATAATGATTTAAGGGACTTTCCACCAAGAGGATATAACACTTGTTAATACATATGCACCTAACACAGGAGCATCAACGTATATAAAGCAACTATTAACAGACCTAAAGAGAGAAATTAACAGTAACACAATAATAGTAGGGGACCTTAACACCCTACTTACATCAATGCATAGATCATTGAGACAGAAATTCAATAAGGAAATAGTAGATTTAAGTGAAACACTTGATCAGATGGACTTAATACTTATACAGAAAGCATTCCATCCAAAAACAGCAGAATACACATTCTCCTCAAGTGCACTTGGAACATTCTCAAATATAGACCATATATAGGGAAATAAAGCAAGCCTCAATAAATTTAAGAAGGTTGAAATCATATCAACCATCTTTTCCAAACATAATGCTATGATACTAGAAATCAACTACAAGAAAAAAGCTAAGAAAGTCACAAATATGTGGAGACTAAATATAACACTACTGAAAAGCCGTTGGATCAGCGAAGAAATCAAAGGAGAAATTATGAAATACCTGGAGGCATGAAATGAAATGAAAATACAATATGCCAACTCTTACGGGATGCAGCAAAAGCAGTTATAAGAGGGAAATTCGTAGTAATACATGCGCACCTCAACAAACAAGAAAAATCTCAAATAAGTAATCTTAAACTACACCTACCAGAACTAGAAAAAGAACAAACAAAACCCAAAGTTAGCAGAAGGAGGTAAATAATAAAAATTAGAGCAGAAATAAATGAAATAGAGACTAAGAAAACAGTAGAAAGGATCAATGAAAGTAAGAGCTGGTTCTTTGAGAAGATAAACAAAATTGACAAACCCTTAGCCACCTCACTAAGAAAAAGAAGCTTCAAATAAATAAAATCAGAAATGAAAGAGGAGAAATTACAATGGATACCGCAGAAATACAAAGCATTATAAGAGAATATTATGAAAACTATATGCCCACAAATTTGATAACCTACAAGAAATAGATAAATTCTTAGATTCATGCAACCTCCCAAAACTGAATCAAGAAGAAATAGAGAATCTGAAAAAAACCAATCATGAGTAAAGAGACAGAAACAGTAGTGAAAAACCTGCCAAAATATAAGAGTCCAGGACCAGATGGTTTCTCTGGAGAATTGTACCAAACATTCAAAGGAGACTTAATACGCATCCTTCTCAAACTATTCCACAAAATTGAAAAAGACAAAACATTTCCTAACTCATTCTATGAGGCCAACATTACGCTGATACCAAAACCAGGTAAGGACAGCACAAAGAAGGAAACTTGCAGGGCAATATTGCTGATGAACATAGTTGCAAAAATCCTCAACAAGATATTGGCAACCCAAGTACACCAATACATTAAAAGGATCATACACCATGATCAAGTGGGATTTATACCAGTCACTCAGGGATGGTTTGACATCTGCAAATTAATCAGTGTGATACACCTCATTAACAAAATGAGGTTTAAAAATCACATGATCATCTCAATAGACGCAGAGAAAGCGTTTGACAAGATCCAACATCCATTTATGATGCAAACTCTGAATAAAATAGGTATAGAAGGAAAGTACCTCAACATAATAAAGGCTCTATATGACAAACCCATAGCCAACATCTTGTTTAATGGTGAAAAACTGAAAGGCATCCCTCTGAGAACAGGAATAAGACAAGAGTGCTCACTCTCGCTATTCATATTTAACATAGTACTTGAGATTTTGGCCAGAGCAACTAGGCAAGAAAAAGAAATAAAGGGAATACAAATTGGAAAGGAAGAAATGAAACTCTCTCTCTTTGCAGGTGACATGATTCTACATATTGAAAACCCTAAGGAATCCATCAGAAAACTATTGGAAATAACAACTGCAGCAAAGTTGCAGGGTACAAAATCAACTTAGAAAAATCAGGTGTGCTTCTATACACTAATAATGAACTAGCAGAAAGAGAAGCCAAGAATACAATCCCATTTACAATTGTAACAAAAAGAATGAAATATCTAGGAATAAATTTGACCAAGCAGATGAAAGATCTATACACTGAAGATTCTAAGACATTTTGGAAAGTAATTGAAGATATAAAGAAATGGAAAGGTATTCCATGCTCATGGATTTGAAGAATAAACATAGTTAAAATGTCTGTATTTCCTAAAGCAATCTACAGATTCGATGCAATCTCAGTCAGAATCCTAATGAGATTCTTCACAGAAATATAGTAAATAATCCTAAAATTTATATGGAACAACAAAAGACCTTGAATAGCCAAAGCAATCCTGAGAACAAAGAACAACCTAGAGGCGTCACCCTGACTTCAAAATGTACTACGAAGTCACAGTAGTCAAAACAGCATGGTACTGGTGCAAAAACAGACGTGTGGATCAATGGAACAGAATTGAACGCTCAAAAATAAAAACCACACATCTATGGACAGTTAATCTTGACAGAGGAGCCAAGAACGTACAATGGAGAAAGGAAAGTCTTGTTACTAAATGGGGTTGGGAAAACTGGACAGCTACATGCAAAAGAATGAAAGTAGACCATTATCTTGCACTGTAAACAAAAATTAAACCACAATGAACTAAAGACTTGATTGTAAGACCCGAAACCATAAAACTCGTGGAATACAACAGGCAATACACTCTTTGACGTTGGTCGTAGCAGCATCTTTTCGAATACCATGTCTGCTCAGGCAAGGAAAAGGAAAGACAAAGTTAACAAATGGGACTGCATCAGACTAAAAAGCTTCTGCAGGGCAAAGAAAACTATGAACAAAATGAGAAAACAACCCACCAATTGGGGGAGAATATTTGAAAATCGTATATATGACAAGGAGTTAATCTGCAAAATATATAGAGAACTCATACAACTCAATAACAAAAAGAACAAATAACCCAATCCAAAAATGGGCAGAGGAGATGAACAGACATTTTTCCAAAGAAGATATACAGATGGTCAGCAGACACATGAAAAGATTTCAACATCACTTATTATTAGGGAAATGCAAATCAAAACTACAATGAAATAGCACCTTACACCTGTCAGAATGGCTATGATTACTAAGACAAAAAAATCACAAATGTTGGAGAGGATGTGCAGAAAATGGAACCCTCATACACTGCTGGTGGGAATGCAAACTGGTGCTGCCACAATGGAAAACAGTATGGAGATTTCTCATAAAATTGAAGTACCATATGATCCAGCTATCCCACTACTCGGTATTTATCTAAAGAACTTGAAATCAACAATTCAAAGAGATTTATACACTCCTATTTTCATTGCAGCACTTTTCACAATATCCAAGATGTGTCAGCAACCCAAGAGCCATTCTACAGATGAATGGGTAAAGATGATGTGGTATATGTATACAATGCGATACTACTCAGCCATAAAAAAGACAAAATCGTCCCATTTGTTTACATAAACATCAGTGGCTTGTAAGGCAAATGTCAATTATATTTCTCAATAGCTGAGTTTTACAAGGCTTTCATTCATTTCAAATTGAAGTATTAAGTTGTTAAACAATAATGAATAGATGATCAGGATTGTGTATGGATTGACATTTTAAAAAAACATATTTTACAAGTCATACATTTAGTCTTGATATTTCTTGCAAAAATTTCTTAGGGAAAATACTCAGAATTTGTGTAAGGTGATTTTTGGAAAAAGTGAATTGATTTTAAACATTGCAACTAAGTACAGCTCTTATTTCTTTCAGCTTCTTACCGGAAGCCATATGTTGCACTTATTCATGGAATTACAATGGGTGGGGTAAGTAGACTGTTTTACTCTCATCATTGAAGTGAGGGGATGGGTGTAATACAATAGAATTCTGTGTAACAAAATCATGTTTGGGTTTTGGATGGAGCCTTGCAGGTTTGGGATATAATACGTGCTTATAGCCGTTTTAGAATAGCTCCACCCAAAAAGAATATGTTCTTAATTATGTTATATGCCATTTTAGCTTCTTGAATTAGTACACTTTTTTAAGCCAACAGAACTGATAGAATCTTTTTTTGTTTAATGTAGAGCTGTTTTTTACTTTTTAGCTGATTGCTTCCGACTTTAGAGAAGAAACTGGAATGTTGAGTTTTTTTGAGACACTGAATAGTGGGGATGTGGTTCCCTAAAGCGTATCTGTTGCACAAAATCTCACCTTAGTGAAAGTGTTTGGATACTTTATGAAGTTCTCTGAAACTACATTTCTATCAGTTGACAAGTATTTATTTTGCATCTGTTTTATTACAAAGAAGTCTTAAATGTCATTGGCCTTGAATAATTTGATAGGGAGTTGGAGAAAAAAGTGAAATAATTACAGAAAAAGTGATAAAATCATATGGCACTGACTATATTAAAGACAAACCTTTAAAGTGAGAGGTCAGAATGGGACTTCAGTCCAGAAAAATATAGGATGTAGGTAGGTAGTAGGAGGCCAAAGGGTGGAATTTAAAAAATTCCACCTGTTCGTTGTTTCAGAGATTTAATCACTGAAAATACAAGAAGTCCCCTCTTTTTCTAGTAGAACCACATTAGGTGAAGCCTCTTGGACACTGGGAATTGCTTGGATCTTGCATATCATTTTGAGAAGGGATTCCACTAGCAGCTATGGTTAGGAAACAGGATTAAGGGTAATCTATACCTCTCTGCTTGTTGGCAGGTACTAAGCATGAGTTGACTGTGCTTTGTCAAGAAAGTATTAACATGGGGAAAATAAGAACTCCTTGAAAAAAAAAAAAAACACTGCAGAACAAGGGGAAGGAAAATAATCTGAAGCATTGAAGGAAGAGCTGCCCTGTGAATGTGAAAAGAACCAGGAAAAAAATGAAAACAAAAAGTATGGGGCATACATAGTAACATGTAAAAAGATGGCCCCAGTAAAATAGGAGAGATAGCCCATAAGGAGACAAGCTCAGTTGAAAGGGCAACAGGTTGAAAAGGGGAATAGATAACATAAGGAAGGGTGACTGGACACTAAAATGCAGTAGCAGAACTGACATTCCACTTTGAAGACAATAGATTAGAAGAATTTGAATTTAATATTACAGATAATAAAGTTGTATCTGTGGAGGAAAAACCTGAGAAGCTCTCACCAAAAAAAGACTAGGATAAAAATGAGAATGAACGTTTTGAGGTAATGAATGTGAAAGAAAGATACTGGGAACTCAACAAAGGAATGATAAATATTCCATGGAAGGTAAATCAAGCATTTGGAATGGAAATGATGATCAGATATAATTAAAGACGACTTTCTTTTATTTAATTAAAAACAAAAACTCTCAAACCCATGGTATGTATAATTAAAGGAAACACAGCATTCCAGATAAAAATCAATGAAAAGAGATCAGCATTCCTAGACAAAAGTTCACAGAAGTTTTTTTGAATTACAGGCTTTAAGAGAAAAAAACAACTGCTCAAGTGTTCCAAGGTGGGGATGAAGAGGTGGTTAGTGACTACAGGTTACGTACAAAGGAACGTCAAGTCATTCTGGTTTCAGACTTTGTTATTAGTATAATAACAAAATAAAAAATTGCCAGAAGTCAATGGATTGAGGAAGTTGTGAAATACTTAAGAGCCAAGAGTTTTCTACCCAACCAAGTTGTCATTTAGTATAAATGTAAAGAAAAATATTCTCAGAAATGAAAGGACTTGGAAAATATATTGCTGACATACCGTTGTTGGAACTGTTTCAGTAAATGTTTGATCTAGTTGACCAAGAGATCGCCCAAATTTAATAACATAAGAGTGGTTTTGATATGAAAGGATCAAGGAACTGCCCTTTCGTGCTGTCAGTGGGCAGAACTTTCCTCTTTTCATAGGAGCCTGAGAAGAACTATTATTGCCCTAGCATACCACATCTGGATGAATTGGCCATGCATTTTGCCCTCCAGGACATGTATAGGTTGGTACAGTGTCTGTACACATTCTTATGTATGTTACAGCCAAGAATACTCCATTTATTTCTAAAGAGAAGACTGCAGTAAAACAAAGATAATGTTGTCTTGAATAGAGGGAGTAAGGATGATGCTGCTTCTTTCTGCTGGTCTGTTTTCTGTATTTACTTTAAAGAGTATGAATGACTTTAAAAATGAAAATGAAAATATACTTTATAGGGGCCGGCCCTGTAGCCGAGTGGTTTTAAGTTCGTGTGCTCTGCTTCGGCGGCCCAGGGTTTCACTGGTTCGGATCCCGGGCGTGGACATGGCACTGCTCATTAGGCCATGCTGAGGCAGTGTCCCACATTGCCACAACTAACCTATATACAATTAAAATATATACAACTATGCACTGAGGGGATTTGGGGAGAGGAAGCAGAAAAAAAAAAAAGATTGGCAACAGTTGTTAGCTCAGATGCCAATCTTTAAAAAAAAAAAAAAAAGAAAATATGCTTTATATTTGCCTTTCTTAACCAGAATACCACCAAGATTTGTCTTAGTGCCCTAAGGCGATGGTTTTCAAGGTGTTATCCCTGTACCAGCAGTCTCAGCAGCACTTGGTAATTTGTTAGAAATACACATTCTTGGGCCCTACCCCTAGAGTCAAATTCTAGGGGTGGGGCCCAGCGGCATGTGTTTTAATAGGCCCTCCAAGTGATTCTGAGTTACGTTAAGTGTGAGAACCAGTGTTCTCAGGCATCCGTTGAATGTAATGGTTAACTTCTCTCCTATTTCTGTCCTGCGCTTCTAGAATGGTACCAGTTATGTACTGTTTTTGGGAAAATTGAAAAAATAGTCAAGTCATTTGCAGCGCTCTGTGGTTCAGATGAGGAACCCCTCAATAAGAAAGCTTCTTTTGTATTACATATTGTCAACCCTCCCACCCCCAAAATCTGTGTATCTTTTCTCCCATCAGGTCTGCCTACCTACATGTCCCATATATACTCTATATCTAATTCATCCTTAAAGACTGAAATTCTACACTATTTTTTGACAGTCTTAAATACTACTATGATTAGATGTGATTTCTTCCTCCATTGACTCAATAAATTCAATCTGTACTCCAAATTTGGCTTTTATACTTTAATTGCTAGTTAATATGAAATATGCTTAAGTGTATTAGATGGTGTAGAAGAGGAAGAAATATTCCTCTATCCTTCCAGGTTCTTCTGACTAAGAATTAAATTGACATGAGACAGAATAACAGGAGAAAATCAAACAAAACTAAGTAAATTGCCAAAGCTACCACCTTAAATACCATCTTAAGCTAAAGACATAGGAGGATATTGGGGGTTGTGGTTTGGGATTTCAAAGGGGAGAAAGGCAATTCATGTGGAGATGGAACAGCAAATGTTTGGTAAATAAATGATTGCCATGCCTTGCATAGTCAGAGAGACATGGAGAGGACTTTGATCAAATGGGCCTTACTAGGTTCCTCCTTGTCTACCACACCTGGTTCACATTATGCTATATTTAGCTATGGTGACAGCTCCTTCCTAGAAGAGGCCTTCTATCTTAAGTTCTTTTAGGTAGTTAGGGATAAGGTTGAAGTTTCTTCCTGAGTCTTTTGTTCTTAAAAATAATCAAGCCATACATTTATCCCAGAGAAATGGAAACTTAAGTTCACACACAAAAACCTGTATACAAATGTTTATAGCAGTTTTATTTATAATAACCAAAAACTGGAATCAGCCCAGATGACCTTGAACAGGTGAATGGTTAAACAAACTGTGATACATACATACCAGGGAATGCCACTCAGCAATAAAAAGGAAGGAACTATTGATACAAGCAACAGTTTGGATGAATTATGCTGAACTAGCATAATCGCCAAAGGTTACATATTGTATGGTTCCATTTATATAACGTTTTGAAAATGACGTAATTTTAGGAGTGGAGGACAGAGATGGGGGAGTGGAGGGAAAGTGGGAGTAGTTATTAAAGACAACCTGAGAAATAAAAAAAAATCAAGCCATAGAGACACATTTTGGGCTAGTAAATTTTGCTCCCCTATATTGAATGGTCTGTAACCGCAAGGATTATCATCATGCCTTTTTTTTAACTTTCGCATAACAACTAGGAATGCTCAGTACATATTTAATAAATTGTTTATTAAAAGACTTTTCTGAATAGTGATATGAACATCTTGTGTAGAGTTTGAAAGAGAAAAATGTATAGACTGGATGTGAACCAGCCCTTTTTTTTGTAGTGAGATTTTGTATGTATCTTGGTTTGGGAGGCTAACTTTTCATGTCTCCTTTACAAACTTTGCTGAATCTAAGATTCTTAGTGAACTCTAGCTTTTGAAAATGTAATCCTGCATGTCAGTGGCTCTCAATCCTGGCTACATTTTAGAATCGCTTAGGAGTCTCTTAGAAATTCCAGTGCCCAGGCTTTACTCACCTCCCAGAACCGTTAAATCAGATATTGGAGTGGGACCCAGGCATTTTTAAAGCTCTCTGGTGATCCAAGTATGAAGCTAAGGTGATGAACTGTTGATTTACTAGTGATTCTTAGCTAATGTGTGGTTCAGTGTTACCTGTGGACTTTATTCAGAATTCCCTTAAGACATTGATTCTCACAGGTTAGCTCATATCTAGAATCACCTGGGGGGTTTGTTAAGGCACAGACTCTTCCTCCCACTCCCATTTCCAGTTTAGTCAGTTTGAAGTATGGCCTAAGAATGAGCATTTCTAACTAGTAGGCGTACCTCACTTTAGGAACCACTACCTTAAGGTGTTGAGAACACAGAGTGTGTTATCCAAAAAGCCTTTATTTTCAGGATTTTTAGTAGAGTTTTAGTATTATACATAATTTTTAGTATAGATAAATTTTTAA